TTAACCATTAATGACAATGACCATGATGGCTAATATTGATTTTCTCAAGTGCTAAAGCTTCATAAATAATTGACTCGCAAAAAAAAAATTTTGGTTAGAATTTCTCTTTTTTGTTATTTTTTTTAAAAGTAGAATAAAAGAATTAAAGTCATCTTCATAAACTAAAACAACAAGAAAATACTCATGAAAATTTCAGTTTTCCTATTTAAATTATCTTAACTCTTAACTTAATGATTGAATAAGCTCAAGGCAAGTTCTATGACAATAAAATATCTAAAGAAATTTCTGTCACATTGTTTAAATATTTCATCTTAACAACAAAATATTGCACTGACAATCATAAATATGAATGCTGGTCATTATTTTAAGAAGTGGGTACAAATAAAAAGATTTGAAATTGATAACTTTTTCAATTTTACTGAAACAGCCATTAAACACTTTTATCTTCCCTTCTTTCATTTTCTCAATGAAACCAAGTAGCCTTTCTGATATGGCTTTTCAGTTTTTCCATGTGATCAAAACAAAATAGTCAATTACTTATGAGCTATTGGCAGATGTTAAACACTTCTATCTTCCTCTCATTTTCAACTACCGTCTCTAATATGTTTTTTCCATCTTTCCACATGATTTGAAATGGAATTGTTCATTATTTATGAGGTATTGTCAATGTGCAACAGCTGCACTAACTGGAGGGTGCAAGCAGAATTATGAGAATTTTTAGTATAAGGACTATATCAGATATCATATACATTTTTATTTTAAGCTTTTGTTTACAAAATATAAGGTCCAAGAGCTACTCAAGGTAGATTTATTAAATTGGGATGTTGTAAGGGCTTACAGGGAGGGAGCAATGGTTGAATATTATGAGGATATGTAGGATAGATAATGGTTGATCTTTAAAGAGATTAAGATTGTAGCTGTCAGGGAATCGGCCTCTTAGGAATCTGTTCCACATTACAACATTTCTGGGGAAGAAGTTGTTTGAGAGGAAAATACTCATTACCAATAGAATATGAAGAGAAGGAGTTGACTGTGTACATGGCATGTCCTAGCAGTGAAGTTCTGAAATGGAGGAGCCAAGGTATATATTCCCCATTAAAAGTTGCCATAAAAATAGTGATAGATTTACAATGATAATCTATAATAATATACAATATTCTATAATAATATATACCGTATTTTCTGGCTTGGAAGACGCACCCTAATATTGGAAAGAAATTTCTAAGAAAGAAAAAAAAAAAGTCATTCTCATACAACAACACATTCACCATGCGTCCCTCACATACTGGTATTGTTTAAATTAATCAGTCGTCCAATTTTGTTTGGCAATGACATACTAGTCAAGAGCAGAAAGGCTCCCGCTGCTGTTAGTAAGCAGAGCATGTTTAAGCTTCTAACTCAGCTCCAGGAAGGTTTATAGTCATGAAAATACTTGTTACATCATATAAAAGGCTGAATTAGATAGCTAACATTATAGTGTAATGACTCAACATAGAAATCTACGTCCTTATCAGTCAAGCCAATTAGATGATCGTCCAAACTTACTTGCCTTATATTCTTCTTGGAAGACACACGGGTATTTTTTAGGAAAAAAAGTGACTTGTAAGTCAGAAAATACAGTAATAATCATATATAATCTCCAAATTTTTCTGTACAAGAGTTGAATCACAGTTAGATGAGAGATAAATAAAATAAAAGAATGAACAATTTTTATTTGGATCTTTTTTGGGGATCGGCATGATACAATTAAAGATACAAGATAAATGTGATAATTGCAATTTAGACAAGAAACAAACCCATTGGAAGATTTCATATTCACAGTCAAGAAAATAGGTTGCAAAGGTATGGACACATGATGAGAGCCATCAATCTACCATCCTACCAAGTACCCACTTAGGCAAAAAAAGAAGAAGCAGAGAAAAAACAATGGGCTGACACTCTTACTAAGTGGACTGGAAGATCCTTCACAGAGACAGTGGCATATAACGAAGACACGGGGGGAGTTGGTTAGGAGCTCAGCTGCACACAATGACCTGATAACCATAGCCAGACATGTAGAAATAAAATATCTACAAATGTTTGGTTAGGGAATATACAAATTATTCTGTTGCTGTGGTTCACCAAACTCCCCCCCCTCTAGACTGCATATAATAAAAATAAAAAACAAAAAGTGGGTTAAAAGAAGATAACTGCAGATTCAAAGTCATTATCATTGATCACTCCCTCCTCCAATTTGTCGACCCTAGTTACTGTTATATAGTGGAACACACCTATTCTATAGTTAATAGACTCTCCCACCTATAATAAGTAAGAGTAAAGAGTCAGTCAGTCAGTCAGTCAGTTGATCAATGTCGGATGACAGTCGAATACTAAAGTATCAACGACCACAACTAGATTACTCTGCATTATACCTATTATATCAAGTTCTAACGTTTTGTATGTCGAACCTATTTTAGGACCGACTTAGTACAAATACAAGCCTCCACTGTGAAATCACCCCACAACAGTTACTATATTCTGATTTTTTTAAAACTGTTTCTAAATCTTTGATTGTCTTTCAATCATTCCACCTCTTCTGCTAACCTCTTCTGCCATACCTATGAGGCACGTCTCACTGTTTGGGAACCACTGTGTTAAATTAAAGACAGCTTAAATGTATATCAGGTGTAAATTTATTGTTCATTGTTTCTTATTACTACAAATATTACATTTAGTGGGTGTACACATATTTGAATAAACATTCCTGTTATTTTTTTCAAAGAGTGATTACAACCAAAGTGGAAACTGAAGTCTCACTAAAAAAAAATATGCCTCCTCCTGACACCTGGGAACTACTTTTAAGCCAAGCATGCCTTACCAATTTGGCTACAAGAAGCCATCATGTCAAAAACAAGGTTAATTTACTCTATTTCAGAACTGCAAATCTCTTATTGGGAATTCTCAATGTCTATATTTGCTAACTTAATTTTTGTACTTAAAGCATAAACAAAGAACTTTATAAGTAATTAATAGACTTATTTTTTAATTTGGCATTATTTGTTATTACTATTGTAGATTTTACTATGAGAATGCATTACAAGTGGTTTTGCTATGAGAATGCATTACAAGTGGTTTTGCTATGAGAATGCATTGTTAATATAGAGTAATTGGTTAAATGTAATTGGTAGAAATGCCCAACAAAGAATTGACAAAGTTTGCAATAAATAACAAGAGAAAGAAAAGAACAGGCCCAAAATAATACTAAGCAAACAATATATGCAAGACAAAAGTAGGCAAAGCAACAGTAATGTGGCAAAAAATTCACAAACTAAGAATGGTGTTAACACACAAAAGAGATACAAGACAAGCAATTGCAGTATTCTGACTTCAAGACAAGAAAGAACAGAACTAAGTCAAATGAGACAAAGAAGTGGCTTATCTTATTGGCTAAGAAGAAATCCCAGCATACATGTCTGTTTTGTCTATAAATTTGGAGAAGTTTTTGCAGTTATTTCAAGTAATTGGAAGCAACACTAAAAACGTTAATTTTAGTGGGTACATATGATTTTTGCTTTTAAAATAATGAAATTAATGTCAACCAATAGGCTGTGGAAGAGGTGGTTTCACCTAACAGTGCAAATTGCTACAAAACCAAAACATCAACTTGAAAACTCAAGTCCTGTTCTCAAATAGCGTCATTAGAATGAGATTTTCATATGGAATTCATGCACTTCCTAAGATCAATTGTGAAAAAAGATTTGAGTGAATGAAGCCAGAGGGTCTTGACAAGGATCATTCTTCTTTGAACGCTGTGTACTGGCGCTACAGAATCACAAACAAAACTGTACCAAATAAGAGAATCCATACCGACAATTGCCGACGAAGAAAACAAGTAAAATAGATAGATTAAAAATGGAAATAACTACCCCCATACATATGTACCCACTAAGAGATATTTCCATTTTTTTTTTTTCTTCTTACAGTGGAATTAATGTTAATGAACCAGGGGGCACTTTTCTGTTAGTAGGACTTCTAGATTTTTAGAATGGTATTTGGTAAGATTAGTTGTTTCCCTATAAGAAAACATTTATGGTATTCATTACCCAAGCAGTCAATACTGCTTTTGGTTGAAATTTATAAAATCATTCTCTTAAAACAATTTTACCATATACCATTCTACAAATCTTTTTTTTTTTTTTCTTAAGCATTATGCCCCGAGCACGGGCGTGAAGCCACTAGAATGCAGGGGGTTACAGAAGATTTGGAGCGAGAGCAGATAGGAGTGATAGAAGAAAGAAGGAGACGGATAGTGGGTAGATCAAGGTAACTGGAGGTGTTGACTGACATTACATTTGGAGAGTTGGAGGTTATAGCTCTCAGGGAAACAGTAATTGGGAAGGGTGCCCTAGAAGTCATACTAACAGTAAAGTGTCTCCTGGTCATTTGATATTAATTTTACTGTTTAAAAAAAAGAAAAAAAAAAAAAGTAGAAGAAATATCTACCCATGACATCTATAGTAATAAGAAATTTTTATTATCAAATGCAAATGAAACTGAATAAAGAAAAGGGAATGAAATTTTATACATCTTAAAACCAAAGCAAAAAAACATGCTTAAGAAAGTAGTCTATGTTCCTTAAACCATAACATGAAAATATATTGTAAAAGATCATGAAAAAAATGTCCTGTTTCTTCAAGAGGATTTCCTCTTGCCACCTTATTTTTATTTCTTTCTTTTTTTTTTTGTAATCCTCTCAAGAACCAATTCTTTAAAATACGAAAAAGGTAATGAATGTGTGAAAGAGGTAGGGAGAAAATAAAAAGAGAGACATGGGTTTTACGTAGCATTAAAATGTATCTATATTTGTCTACTTCTTATAAACACTTACTGGAAATTCATGTCATAAAATTTCATGAAATGATGAGGAAAGAATAAAAAGGAAAGCCTAAAAGATATAGAAATGGGTGGTGCTGACAGAGCAGAAAGGCTATAGATAAAATGGTTAAGAGTATAGATTAGAGTCAAGACCCAGAAAAGGTAGATAGAGCGAATTGCAAAGTGGAAAACATTTGAAAAGGAAAAGTGGTGTATACAGAAGAGAAAAAAAACTGTAAAATAAATGTGTAGCTGAAGTAATATTCAAGAATTATAACTATCTTGAGATGGCAGGAAACAAAGTGAAGGAAAAAGAGTAAAAAACGGAGGAGGAGGAGCATTATAAAGGCAGGTGTTGTTGTATGGGAAGATGCGGGGGGGGGGAGAAAAAGTAAGGAATAGTTAGCATAACATGGAAGAACAGCATGAGAATGTGAGTAACAAAACAAGAGAGGAAGAAGTGAGAGGGGGAAGGACAAAACTAGAGAGGACAAGGTGTAAAGGGAAAGGACAGCATTAGAATGGAAGAGGAAGAGAAGGGGGGAAAGGACAAGAGGAAAGAATGGAGGAAGGATATGGGAAAAAAAGGATGGCATAAGAGAAGGATATGGGAAAAAAAGGATGGCATAAGAGAAGGATATGGGAAAAAAAGGATGCCATAAGAGAAGGATATATGGAAAAAAAAGATGGCATAAGAAAGGATATGAGAAAAAAAAAGGGATGGCATAAGAGAGGATATGGGAAAAAAGGATGGCATAAGAGAAGGATATGAGAAAAAAGGATGGCATAAGAGAAGGATATGGGAAAAAAAGGATGGCATAAGAGAAGGATATGGGAAAAAAAGGATGGCATAAGAGAAGGATATGGGAAAAAAAGGATGGCATAAGAGAAGGATATGGGAAAAAAAGGATGGCATATGAGTAGGTTATGGGAAAAGGATGCCATAAGAGAAGGATATGGGAAAAGGATGCCATAAGAGAAGGATATGGGAAAAGGATGCCATAAGAGAAGGATATGGGAAAAGGATGCCATAAGAGAAGGATATGGGAAAAGGATGGCATAAGAGAAGGATATGGGAAAAGGATGCCATAAGAGAAGGATATGGGAAAAGGATGCCATAAGAGAAGGATATGGGAAAAGGATGGCACTAGAGAGGAGGAAGGATAAGGGAAAAGGATGGCACTAGAGAGGAGGGAAGGATAAGAGGGATATGGGAAAGGATGGCACTAGAGAGGAGGAAGGATAAGGGGAAAGGATGGCACTAGAGAGGAGGAAGGATAAGGGGAAAGGATGGCACTAGAGAGGAGGAAGGATAAGGGGAAAGGATGGCACTAGAGAGAAATGAGGAAAAACGATGGTACAAGAGAAAGAGAGAGAGGATAAGAGAAAGGACATCATGAGGACTGCAGGATAGCAAAAGAAGGTAAGTCACAGATGAAAATGGGAAAACACACAGCGTGTGTGTGTGTGTTAAAGAGATGAGAAAAAGGAAGGAAAAAAACAAATGTGTGTTTTAAAAAGTCAAAAACAGAAATAAAATTAAAAAAAGAAAAGAAAAAAAAAAAACATGAAAACCATAAAAGATAACAGTGAAAAGGAAGGTAAAAAATAAGTTAGGTCATTTGAACCAATTGCAGAAACATCAATAACATGTGAAGATCTTCAAGGAAGGAATGAAGCCAAAGTAGGTGTTGAGTAAAGGTCAAACTGAGGATAAGTAATCCTTGACGTGGAGGGGATAGTTGGTAGAGGGGAGGGAACAAAAACTAACCACAACATTTTGTCCAATGCTTCAAGTACCAAATGAATGGTCTGTGAAAAGGATAGTCTTTAACTACAAGAGTAGATCCTCTAAAAAGGTAAAGTATTACACTTAACAGACCATTAACAAAACATTATTAATACAAGATTCCAAACAAGAGATTCCTCATGAAAGACTCAAAGATTCTTTTTATGTGGATGTTGGCAAGAGAATCAATAAAAACCTTATAAAATGTTAGTATTTAGAGGTTGGCAATGAGTAGGCTTTGTATATCAATAACTTGTATCAGAGGGAAAAAAATATAAGGTTAGCACAGAAGAGAATGTGATTATCCATTGTGCTGGACCCACAGTGGTTATATTATAATAATTTAATAACAGAAATATGACCTTCTATTTATGCACACACACACACACATTAATACTGCAATTAAGCTTTTTATTTAATTTTTTGTGTTCATACAAGTGTTTTCTTTCCAGGACCCAAAGTATGTAAAAACTATCCATTCCTAAAACTTCAGACACATAAATAAAAATAGTACACATTCTGTTAAAAATAAAAGATCAAAACGGACAATGGTTAACTTAAAAGAATACCCAAAAGCGGTCAGATATTAAAAACTTTTGAACAGTTTTCGCACACTGTGTCCAGAAAAAAAAAACACTTGTACAAAATACTGTCGAAACTTAAATGTAGCTGTCTCTTCTACTCCAATAGCTTTATGTCTCGCACCTCTCACCTATGGAACTCTCTCCCCTTTTCCTGACAGTTATAATCTCCAACTCTCTGTAACCCCTTGCGAGATAGTGGATTCCCACCTTGCTTGGGGTGAAACGCTTAAGAAATAAAAGAAAAAAGAAAAATGAAATAAAAAGCTTAATCACAGTACCTTGGTAGTTGTTATTAATAAAACTTGTATAAAACAGAAATTGCTGCCCAAATATACAATATATGTATATTATTTTATATGCAGGGTACTTAGTGGAAAGCACTCAATATCAGTGATAGATGAAACCCAGGGTCACAAACTTATATCCATACAACTTATTATATATATAAAATTAATGCAAACACTTAAAAAAAAGAAAAAAAAAAAAAAAGAAGTGAAATCATTGAATTTTTTTCTCACAAATTTCAGTGACATTACAACTATTCTATTCCACTTTGTGTGTGTGTGTGTGTGTGTTTTAATAATATGTTCTGGTATGGGGCTTTATGGGTTGGTTTATTTTGTTTTATGGCATATCAATCTCAATGGGTTATTTAATGCTGACAAGATTTTTTTGAATAAGTTCCTACGAATTGAATATGTATTCTTTGTAAGAAATTACTTTCTAGATCAGGTTTCACTGATGTATCTTTAAGAGGGTTTTTGTCGAGAGTCAAATGTATTGCCAGTAATTTTTTTTTTTTTTCAAGTATTGCTGGAAATAATTTTTTTTTCAAAAATGTATTTCTGCTATTTTTACTATAAAAACCTATTTTTACACTTTCATAGTGTTTTGACATCAGTTTGGGGAGGCGGGTTACCTATTTGCTCATAGCTGGGACCCTAACAGGTGCTACTAACCTGAATGGACCTGAGAACACCAGCAATATAGAGGTGGTTTCACGTTCCTCAAAACCGCCTGATCAGAGGCCCTTGCTGATGGACGTAGTTATCATCATACCTAGGATGACGGAACTTTTTGACCAGCATTGTCGAGCACTTTTACCGTTTCCATTTTATGCACCAATGCTGTGATGCTATTTTTCTTCTGTCACTAAGCACTTTTTTGAAACATTCTTAAATGCATTCTGGTGTTGTTTGTTCTTTTCCAAAAATTTCAGTAACTTTATGACTATTGCATTCTCGGCCATTTCAGTTTTCCTTCCTCAGTGATTTTAGTTGGTGAGTATATTATATATGTATTTTAGTTGGTGAGTATATTATATATGTATTCATCAACTGCTCTTATTATGGCATCTTAGCTTCTCCGAGGCAAGAATAAAATGCTCAGTTCAGTGAACATTTAATGCCAGCAGCTTGATGAATGCGTGATTACCATGTTTGAAACTAACAGTCACAACCAGTCAGACCTACACTGAGAAGATAAAGTCAAGTCAGAATTAACCTGTAGAAAAAGACAATTGTCGACATGGAAAACAAAAACATACACACAAAAATAGTCACAAACACTTTCAAAATCATTACGAAATGCGTCAGGTACTATTACAGTTTTCCTATTGTCTTTTACATTTATAAATATTGTCTTTTTCTTCAGGTTAACTCTGATAAATTTTTCACATACATACATATATATATATATATATATATATATATATATATATATATATATATATATATGTAACTCTCCCATCAAGTTCGACGTATGAGGGTCAAGCAGATCAGTTCCCAGGAAACCGACAGCCCGACAACGGCACATAAAAATTGATTATAGTGGTGAAGGCTTCGTGCAGGACCATCTACACTTTTTGAAGGGACGAATACAGAGACCTGGTTCACTAAGTGCCACAAGGTCCCCAAACGACCCTCCGCAGGTTTTTGATTTCAGAGTTGTCCTTCTCCTAGACCAGATGCCATCCAAATCTATAGAACCCAGTCTGTCCTACTATTTTACCCATAGCTGGAGGGAGAAGAGGATTCACACCTTTCCCAAGGGTATTAGCACATAAGTGAATGCAATGGAATTCAAACTCAGCTCTGCGATTCCTCAATCCAAGCCGCTATCCATTACTCCATCGTGCCTCCTACACATTATATATATATATATATATATATATATATATATATATATATATATATATATATATATAGAGAGAGAGAGAGTTAAATTCCCAGATGAATTCTGTGGACAAGACAGATTGGTATCAAATGACAATTGGAAAAAATTTTACATTACACATACATACATTACATACATACATACTCGAATGAAGCTTATAAGCATGCAAAGGCTAAGATTAGTCCCAAAATTAATCACATAAGCACTAGAATTTTTTTGTAACCCGCTGGCAAGTGTTGAAATCCTCACAGTATTTAGTATTGTTGAAGTTATCACTAACATTTATCTGTCGCCTGATATATATTATGACCTCAACTTGTCCAGATATATCATGTTGCAACAAAATTATAATATTCAGCAAAACTGACTATAGATCACTTGATAAAAGCCAAACAAGTTTTACACTATTTAAAAAGACACAAAATAGTGTTTAATAAATCTAGTAAGCCTTTAAGTTTAAGAGGCTTCTACAACAATGATTAGGGAAAATTCAAAAAGATCCCCACAGTATTATGTTTTTCAATTATCATTAAGTAGTTCTATGATTTCGTGGAAACCAGAAAACAACCTCCAGTAACATTGTCAACATGTGGCATTAGCAATTTCAATACAAGCAGAAATATTCCTATTAATTTAATTATTAAACACCATTATTTAATTAAACACCATGATTAATTCAAATGAAAGTGAGAAAGCCATTATCTATTGTGACAATCAAGGTACCATTTTATTCAATTTTGCAAACCAATATAAAAAATATAAAATGGCAACAATTTAACTATCACACCATGTAGTTAGATTTAGGCTTAGATTTTTTTTGACAACTTTAAACATTAAGAACTAAAACTTCTCATATTTGGTTTATATCATAAGTATGAAATAAGTCTTGAACTGAAAAATTGCTTAACATAATCAATCTTATACTAATGTAAAGCATAGGACTTTTTGAAATATTCATTAGGAGTAAAATTTTAAATACAAGAACAGTAAGGAATTCAACTTCACACTCATAAATTCGACTGGACAAAACAAGATGCTGGATCATCAGTTGCCAGAAAATTAATGACATGATGTAAATTAATCTTTTCAATTTATCAACAGATCTGATTCTGGGCAGTGAGCTGAGACTGATCTTTTGATCACATCTCATCAATGGAGAAGTAAAGTGACTCCTTCTCTCTATTAGAATGAGACCATGAGCAAATCTTAGCAATCCCTAAGCTCCCTTTGCCAGGGGTAAAATGAAGCAGGCTGGTGGATTGCAAATGCTGAATATTGTCTGCATCAGATTGCTTGGTCAGAACTGCTCTTTTCAGCAGGCAGATGCATTCTCCACCAGGACTAACAGCTGGTGATACCTAGTATTCAGGTCAGTAGATATATACTGTTAAATAAATAAATGGAGCATCTATTCAAATATGAGTATCCACTAAAAATAATTTTTAAAATCTGTCAGATTAATAAATAAAAAAATCTATCACTTCTTTATATATATTATTAATACAATATAAAAATCTGCTACTTGAGTTTCATGTCGAGTAGTGGTTTTTCATATTATGGTATTAATAATATTATAATGTATTATATTTGTTGCAGGAGGAACAGTGTATAGCAGCTCAAATTGAGGAATCAGTGAGCCAAGTTTGAATTCCAGTCAAATCCATTACATTCACTTATGTGCTAATACCCTTGGGAAAGGTATGAATCCTCTTCTTCTCGCCCAAGCTATTAGTAAATAGCAGGACAGACTAGGTTCTATAGTCTTGGATGGCAACTGATCTACCACAGAAAGAAATAATATTATTATTAAGGAGGCATGGTAGAGTAATGGATAGCAGGTTGGAGTGAGG